GCTATCACGGGGTTCTCCAATCTATAGCAATTAGTTTCGATGTCATCGTCTCTCGTTTTTTCCTAGCAGTCCAGACTGTTGTTTATTTCTTGTTTGCCCCTTCTAGTTCTGTCAATAATATCAACGATTTAATTAATCTAATTGTAGTGATTTACCGATATTTTGTCGATGCTAAACTAAATGATAAGTGTCTTGTAGTTTGGTTATCCGGAGCATTATAATTACAGAAAAAATCTTCCATTTTCATAGTATTAAACTAGCTTTCTGAATGATAAAAGTAAAATGAAATCAAAGAAACATCCAGGAACAGTTTTGATGAAAGGTGGCAAAACAATTTTTAAATGTTTCTATGCTGTTCACTGATATTTCAGTTAATATTCAATGTAACACATGACTTAAGTCCTAGACTTCACAAAACCAAAGATAAAATGGTAAATTGTTTGTTACGTGGGAGCTATCAGTAGAGAATATGTCTTCATTTTCTTCCCTTCTACAGTTTCTCTTATACTACTCAAAGTAATTTCAGAGAAGAATTTCATCAGCTGTGTTATGTTATAAGAATAAAGTCATTTTTCTCCAATCAACAGCTAATATTGACAGCTAATATCTCTTCGAATATTTCGATGTCGTAGAGCATCTTATTCAGGAAATGAAGGTATCCAGGTGAAAAGCCTCTATCCAGGAGATATACTTAGGAAAAATACCTCAAAGCTATTTTAATAAGTAAGAATATTACTAATTTCGTTCTTGAGTTTTGCTAATCACCAATAACCGTTTAGATAAAACGTTAAGCATTAGGTACGAATAATTAAAATACGGCCGGTTAAATTGGCCTATTAATGTACAGGAATTCTAAAATAAAGTTTGGTTTAATATTTTATAACTGAAGAGTGCTATCTTTCATGATTGAGGGAAAAGGATGGAGCTTCAAGTATTTTATAAGGCATCCTTTTTGCAATGCTGAAGAGACAGTGTATTTCAATGCAGCTAAGAAAATTTTGTGAAAAAATTCACCTAAAGGAGAAACAGCAAAGGAAGTTCATGCAATTTTAATATCTAACGGTATTTACATTTCGAAAATGGACTTCAGGTTAAAAATCTTAAACCTCCAATCACTGTCATGATTTCTGTGCATACTGCTATTGTAACATGTAACCTTATTGATTTCGTGTTAGGCGACATTGCAAGGCTGTAGCTCGCGAAGAATAAATTGTACATTTTTGCTTTTATTTTATTTATGACCTTCCTTGTAACTACTGCTCTGCGAATCAGACTTGTACACTTTTATAATATATGTTAATTCGATATTTGTTAATTATTTTCAAAAGTGAAAGTAGGTCCTGGCATTATAATCTACGAGTATTCAAATTGTATGATGTTTAAAAACTGAATATTATTTGTCACCCAGTAAAGTGCCTTTCAAATCTTTGCACATCGTGAAGGTCCGCACGCGTCTTGTATGTGCTCATTTATCCCAAAGGAACAAGACATTTCATCGCATCGCATGTAATTGACATATTTTTTATCGCAATCATATTTTTATTCGACAGCTGGTAACTTTTAGTATACAAAAATATCACAAAGGAGAAATATGCATTTACATTGAAAGGCCATGAGAAAATGCAGATTTTACGCATTGAGTCAGGGTATTCTTATTTTTGTGTTAATAGTAACAAAGCGTCATCTTTCAAATACATGTTCAGTTTACATAAATGTCGTAATTCTTGATTGCTTGCCTAAATATGGTTTATTCCCATCGGGTACTCTATACAGAAATTAGCTAAATTCCAAAAACCAGGCAAAATATGAAATAAGCTCTCTCATACAAAAAAGCACCCTAAGCCTCTTGAGAAATCCCCGCCGCCTCTAAAATATACTTAGTTCTTTTGCTTGGTAACCAAGTATCCAATCAACAGATCCTTCTGTTAGACCAATCAACATTTTCGTTATAAAATGTTGTCCTACTGTGTGGGAGTGACTTTCCCCTTTTATTTGACCTGAGTATTCAAAGAACAGGGCAGAAGCATTTCCCCCGGATCGAAGTTTCCAAAATTTGATAATGTATAGTCAAACACAGATAAATATTATATTATTCTTCAAGTGTAATCCTACACAAGGTAATGTCCTTATTAGATGGCATAAATTGCTCCCACATACCCACCGCTATCGTGTACACTCTAGAATCACCCAAAATATCATATACACATTTTTAGTTTTGTAAAAAAAAAAAAATAGACCGAAATAACGTACGTAGGATTACCAATTTGTGTTTCTATTTATATATATTCTATACATATATTGCTCCCACATAACCATCGTTATCGTGGATGCTCTAGAATCATCAAGAATATTATATTCACGTTTTTAGCTTTGTAAAAAAAGAGAGAGTTAATAGACAGAAAATATGTACGTAATATCACAAGCGTGTTCTTCCACATATTCTATATATTCTATACGACTGTGATATAAAAATGAAAAGCACCCGGAGAAGGGGAATGTTTGTGGATCTATTTTTTCCATGTGCAGCTTGTGCACCATTTAGAAAAGAAAGAGGAAAGCAGATATTTGAAACTTGTGAATAATTTTTAAAAAGTATAAAACTTGGTTTGAAAGCTTTATTTCCACACATTTTTTCAGTGTACCCTACGATTACAGATAGACTTACTTGAAAATAACAAGAAAGGGAAAGCACTGTTACCTAATGAAACAGTTGGCTTCGCATGTCACCCCACTACCAGAGGACGTGTTTGTATCATAAGGCAGAGGGAGGGAGAATTATTGATTATTTATTATTTTCAACGTTGTTCCGTTAATTCTTGATGTCAAAATCATCATATTCATTCACTTGAACATCTTAATCCAAACACGTATTCCTCATAATATTTGTATAAATATATTTGTCTCCATATTTTCACATTACTATATTTTTCGCCATTATATGTATCCACTCGTGATCTCGAACTACTGTTATTTCCCTTTAAACCAAAGAAGTTTAAACGTTTTGATATTTAAGTCAGTAAAAGTTATCAATTGCAAAGAGCGGTTCATTATAAAAATAATTCGCCACCTATGCCTTAAAATGAATCTTACTTCCTTCACAAGTTTCATAAAAGAAATTTCGCTAGACTTCACGCAGCCCATAACATGTGAACAATTTTCCCTTTACACGTTGAGATTTACTTCTTAGAGAGATAGTCTCGATGCAGATGTACATTCATCTTGGTTGGGAAATAATTTAGTATTCTCTGCAACCCTCATAAACATTTTATTTCATGCTTTCCTTTGAGGTTATTGCTGTTCTTTATTTCTTAAGAATATGTCACTCATCGCCCATTTCCCGCGCACATGGCCTAGCTCTAGCTCTGTTCATCGCCCTCGTCATATTATACGCAATTCTTTTCATGTGTTTTCTTTGCCCTAATTAAACGGAGCAGTTTGCTGAGTTTGAAACAAAGCAACTCTGGTCCCTTGCACTATTTTCAGTGTTTGCTCACCGTCAAATTGTTAACATCTAACTCCCAGGTTACCATAAGACGGAATTACTTCATTTTTTATAAACTAAAAAAAGCCAAGCTAAGATTATATGCACTGATATAAGTTTCAAATAAAAAATATAGCAGGACTTTCCTCATTTAAATGTATAAAACTAGCCGTTAAGGTGATCGTTAATACTATGATCTAAATTTAAGAAATGCTGATCACAAAATCTACTTGAAATTTTCTCTCAGTGGTTCACTAAACAAAAAAAAAAAAAAATAAATAAATAAATAAATAAAATAAAAGAATAAAAAAAGAAAGAAAAGAAATACCAGCCTGCCAAACAGAGGGAATAATTAAAATAATAATAGAATACAAAGAGCGGGGATCAACAAAATAGTATAAATGAGTAAGCCATGTATATTATTATTATCATATCGTTATTTTTTTCTATCTGTACAAAAAAAAAAAAAAAAAAACTAAAATGCGTTCAACATTCAATATATTGGAACAAAATAGGAGACGCACCTAACACCTGGTCACGAGCAGTCAACACACTGAGACAGCAGGAAGTTTTGGGGACATGTTCTCTAACAAAACATATAAGCCGGGCTTCAAGTACTATATTATTGCAAAATATAAATATATATTGGCATTACGTCCATTTGAAGACACCGATGTCACTCATCTTGATTCAAATAAGCATCAGATGCTTTGAAGTATCTTACGGTAAATGTGTAAGGTTATTCAAAAGCACATAATTGCTTTAGAGACATTTCCTGTGTTTATACGTTTTTTGTTCACATATATATTTCACTTTACCAAAGAGAAAGTTGATAAATAAACGCGTTTTTATATCTCCTTACCCGTGTAATGGATATATTCATCTCATGTAAATTATATATATGGATATATTCATCTCACGTAAATTATATATATATATATATATATATATATATATATATATATATATATATATATATATATATATATATATATATATATATATCTCCTTTATCCTTTTTAATACTCAATGTGTATTTGTTATACGTTTTTACTAATCAGAATATTTCAGTCTTGTACATTATCAATGAAACCTAATTAAATTTTGCTTCACATGTTCTCTCTTTTTTGATATTTTATTGATTTGTATTTCTTATTCTCATCAGCTATTTGTGTATTTGTTAAACATTCCTCATATCAAAATATTTCCTTTCATATAAATATTTCAGTTTAGTTTATGCCTTTTTTATTGCTTCATGATCAATTAATATTAAATCAATATTTATTCAATGTAGAAATAAAAAGTTATTTCACATGATATAATATGTGTATATGCCACATTCGAATTGAACATGGATTCACTGAGATCTGTATAAACTTGAATTTAATTTTTATCTAAAAGATAGTGCAAATTTTCTCATGTGATTAATTAGTAATATGTGTTGAAATTATATAACTTCCATCAATAGGGAAAACACTAAAAAAGTGTGATATACTAACGTTTACTTTTTTGTTTGCAGATGGTACAGCAGTTGACAGGGCAGAAAAAAGGAGACGTGAAAAAGATACTGGTGAGTAAAATGTAGGCGTCACTTAAAAGCAACTACCCGGCGTGACCTAAATATTCTTCCCTAGGTGTTAGCTAGTCCAAAAGAGCACCTAACTCTTATTCATCAAAAACTGATTTCACGTGAGTTTAAATATGTCACATTTAGCAACTCGACCATGCTGCATTGAAATAAGCTGTAGCGTGATCATGAAAAAAGTTTTACAAAATAATACTAATAATAAATGCATTAATGTACATGTAGGAGAATGAGTGGTGGTAACATAACCAACAACATTTTCAAATTGTTTATTCAATATTTAGTACATTCGACAAAGCTAGTCATATGGACACTGAAGTTTGCAGCGTCTGAAAACCAACTTGTAACTTGAGGGTCATGTATTTGCCACATCTTAAGTAAAATCGGTAGACAAATCACAAGACGTTTTTTACAATAGTCGGAATAATTTATTTGAACTCTAGAGGTAAGCCCAAGAAATATAAAAAAGACTGGGAACTTAATATGGTTTGTCTGGTTTAGCTTTGGCTTGGAAACACTCGGCATAGGTAACCAATAGAGTGCTTGGTGACATACAAGAAACATAGCGTTGAGCTTTTGTACTTAAACTAAACTAACATGCAATCCAATTAGACGATAAAAAAGACTATATGCTAAAATGAAAGCATAACATATATGTTTGACGCACATTAAACTACATGCTTGAGGATTGTTTTTTATTTCGCAACAGCACAGACTAAACAATGAATCTTTACTGTTTGTTTTTTGAAACTATATTTATATGTGACAAATGACAAACGTTCTTTAATTGAAAATGTTATTTTATGTAGATGCAAAGCTAAAACAGACCGGCTATGTTAAAATTTATAAAATCTACTCGCAGAAATATAGGACAAATAATGTTTAATTCGAACCTTTCCTTTGGATTTGCTTGGCGGCAAAATGATGTCAACTTCCAGGCAGCATTGGGCACTTGTGAATGAGGGTGTGACAGCAAACCTGCAAAATGTTATTTGATTCACGTCAGTATAAAACATTCTATTTCCCGCCATTCCCTTGTACACCACGTCTCTTGTTTCAGCCTGAGTGTTAACAGGCGTGTTTTTTGGGCGGGAAACATGTCCAATGGCGTGCTGTCTTTTGATGAGTTCTGAAATTTAATTTCTGTACATGCATTTAACGCGACAACAGAAAAATACTACCAACGGCTTGATATAGTGACTTTATAAAATTTCTGAAAAAATACACTGTGCGTACTTGTTAAAGATTTTCCCACGTAAACACAATTTAAACACAGCGGTTAAAGTGCTCATCTTATTTCATCACCTTGTATTACAATTGCTTTTTATCCCAAATAAACGCTGTGATGTCTATCCGGCGATATGATCAGGCTTGTAAGATACCAAGCCAAAGGAAACTCCGACGAAACAAAAATTACGCGCCATTACTCCCCTGGCAAATAATACGTTACCAGTGGCTCCATATTGCCCGAATATGGCCGCAAGGGAGAATTGCACATTACTGAGAATGGTTAAACAGGACATAGGTCAGGCTCTAAAAAAGACGATTGCTACTCGTAAGGCATATCCGCCACGTAGCAACAGTAACGTTCGTTGATATTTTTCGCAAAAATTAGCTGGGGTATACCTGAAATATAGCGCAGTCCTTTGCTGTATAGAAAAGTGTCTCGTTCCCTCGCCGACTGCGTGCTCTCAGTCGCCATCTTGAGGTTGAAGTGGACTGGACTTTGAAAAATAAACCTCATCCGGGGCGAAAGGAGGAGATCAGTGACGTCACGGACCGGTTCTAGGTCATCAGTAGCGAGGTTTTTTTACACGATAGGTCTGTTTTGTCAGGTGTTTTCACGACCCTCTTCATGTAGGTGTTCGTAAAGGTACACAATGGCTCCCCATGCAAACTCATTTTATTTTATCAGCTGCCTATGAGGCACAGCGTCACGTGCTTGAAAGCCGCGACCTGGTTTTAGGGCATAAGGTTACGCATAACATCAAATCTGAATTTCACTAGAAGAAACGCTACTTTGTGCATAATTAAGCAGAAAAAATAATAGGAGCATCCTATTGTTCTAATGGAACCCAAACATTGTTGTGCACACGTAGTGGGAATGCTTAATCAATGCTTTGCGTTGCTGTGTATGTGATTACAAGGAAAATAGACTTCTGTGTTCATGCTGCATACATTAACCCTCAGCCCATTATGTCGACTGTATGGTGAATGCACCATAGTAGCGAGCAAAGGGCAGCATCCGCCGACATGGATTGATAGGCTTCCAAACACTGCCTCAAGCTGCAGACTAGGCATGCTTTGTACTGATAGAATATCGGGTCATACGTACTTCACCCAAAATATTACGTATGCATGTATACGAGCAAATCAAAAACTAATTTTATAATTCTTTTCTTGGATTTCCAATATGCTTCGTTTCACTGTTTTTCAAATGAACTCCATTTGGTGTTTCCAGTGGCACATCTAAACACCTGGTCACAAAAATAAGAGTCTTTTTTGTGATTCACACAGATAATGGTTTGGGTAAACTATTTAATTACCATAAGGATGTGTTTGGACATAGAAATGTTTGATTATGCTTATTTGAAATTAACACAGCCTTGGGTAAATTTTATACCAAAGTGCTGTGTGCTCAGATATTAGTACACTAGCAGGTCACGTATAATTTGCATATATATCTTTTCATGTTATATTCTAATAGATTGGTTTTTTTAGACTACATACCCTTTGCAGTGGCTTAAGAGGCAATCGACACAGAAAAACAAAAAAAAAATGTGGAAGGGTTATTTACATTTAAAGGAACCAATGCCGAATAAATTTCACCCCCACAAGAGACTACTGTAGACAAGATGGCCGCCTATGATGGCTATACTAATCTTTGAAAGTAGTAACGAGATAGATATATTACAGCATGGAAGGCAATTAACATACAAAATATCTGGATACATGCCACAAAAGTGTTTTAACCCACGGTTGTGATATGACTGTCAATATTTCCCCACCCTACTCAAATGGCATTTCCACATTTTGTACAACAAAGGTATACTGTATTTTTGGAAACTTCACACGCCAGGCCTATTGTACCAAGTTTGATAAAGATATTGTTAATCATAGAATATGGTATGTTTGTATTTATAGCTCTCTATTATACTAAGGACTCCATATTTTTCACACCATGAAGTATGTATATTCCATAGAGAAGTTAACATGCTGTAACTGACTAAACCACTAAATGTTGTCTGCTGTTGTGAACACCATATTTGTAACTGAATTTTTGAATGTTTCTGTTTATCCTCTTCCCAGTTGTATTAGGCATTTCTTCTACATGTACATGCACGATAGTAAGGCACAAAGGAGAATATTTCATGATAATCCCTAGCTGTGCCGTAGATGATATAGGGAAAATATCGACATAATTGCAGTTAGCATGCCCTATGGAACCAACACAGATAACAGTAGAAATCTACCTCTGCTCATGACCCATATCTTTAAGCTTCGTATTTAAACGTTTTATGAAACGAATGTTACCATATAAGACTTGGAAGTAGTCAATCGAATTCTATGAAAACATGATTATGTAATGTATATTCACATAGTATGAGTGTCTCTCGATTCCTCCTACTTACAATCAAACAGAAAGTTGAAATATAATATTACAATTGGTACATTCATTTGTCTTTTTAATTTTCAGTATACTTTTATCCATTCATTTATGCAGCATTTGATAGATTTAAAATAATGTTTGGTTGAGTTTAAAATTTTCATAACACCAGCTTATTTTAACAAGTAAGCGGTAGCAACATTACACGACTCCTCTTATATTTTTCCTTGCTTCTTTTATAAAACAGAATTTTTATCCAAACTTTATTCTTAATGGTGACGACCTGTTTTTATCAGATGAGCTTTTCTAGTATTATACACATGATAGCTTCTACTTTGGGTGTGTTGCGAGATTTGTCTTTTCAGTTTGAAGCGTAAATTTGTATATATTGTATTGTATATTCAGACGCAAAATATGCGTGTGTTTGTGGGTTTGTGTGAAGGGAGTCTTTTGATGAAAAAAGTGCATACACACAACCTATTGGTTTCCAGTTGGCTTAAAAAGCCTTTATAAAAAATATACCGGTCTAGATACCAAAATATGGGTACATAATGAAATAGCTATGGCAGAATGTCTGCTCTTTGCAGGAGCCACACTAATAAAAATACGACTCTGTTGAATTTTGAGTTTGAGAAAAGATCAAATAAATAGTTTTGGTACATATGACAGCCGGAGCTCGTTTTCAGTTTATATTCATTTGCTATTTTCTTTATCTTCACTTATGGTATGTTTAAAACTGATAGTAAATCCATGCATTTTTAATTTATTTTATATATATATATATATATATATATATATATATATTTTTAGATATTTTTTGTTTTTAATTTTTTAANATTTATTTTATATATATATATATATGTTTTTTTTTTTTTTTTGTAAAAATGTTTAGATATTTTTTGTTTCATAATTTTTAACATATATATATCTTTATCGTAATAAGGCAGCATTCATTCAATATAACGTTGAAGAAACAATCTTTCAAAATTTTGACAAATTATAAAAAAAACTTGGATGTATGCCATAAAGCAAATTGCACTTATTGTGTTTGGTTTCATATCTTTCCTAACTCTCACTTCGTTTTATTTATTTATTTATCTATCTATTTATTTATTTATTTTTTACATATTCACCAGACTATTATCCGGTATATCTAAGAAATAATAAGACTGCAGTACTGTAAAAATATTCAAATTATGGTTGGATGCTATTTGCCACTGTGTTATGTGAGTGTTGTAAACACTCGACCAAAAAAGTTGGGAAACATCGTTATTTTGAATAATTATAAAATAACCATATGAGCTGAAGTGACTATTTTTACCAAATATTGATGAATCATGCACGTTACGTTTTGAAATGTTTGTAAGGAAAGGAACTC